CCAGACACTTGACTGGTTCAGAGCCGTGTCCAGGACTTTTAAAATGGGGTGGCCCATGTGGGGCACTTGTTTATGCATGGGTGGCACCAATGGTTATGCTTATTTATTTATTTAAACAAATCGTTTATTTATTTATTTACTTTCTAGTGAATTTTGGAGTTTCACATTTCACAATCACCATTTATTTCTATTCATCTTCTAGTTTTGTGGTGGTTAGCAAGTCACTTCTTGTTGCATTACTGCCACCAACTGGAGTTGAGTGGGACTCTAAATACTATTTATGTGAATATGAAAAAATAATAAATAATATTAATACTACAGAAATGTTCTGGAGGCCTGGGCTAGAAGACAATGTTAAAGGTGCATGCTACCACACTATTTTTGGAGTTTATAACTCAAGCCTTTTGTCGACAATGTAAAGTCAATTTAAACTGGAACTTAGTAGGGGGGCACCTGGGGTGGCCAATCAGATTCTAAGGGTGGCATGTGCCACCCCAGGCCACTCCCTGGACACGCCCCTGGACTGTTCACACACCAAACCCACAAATCACTTTCACTCCCTCGGACTGCCTCCTATTAATCCCAACAAGTCATTAATATTCTGAAATAATACACTCTACCTTTATGTTTCAATCCATTTTCTTTCTCATTTTTTCGTGTTTCTGCAGTGTGCCTCCGAGGGCTTTCATCTGCTCATGCTCCAATAATTCATATCAGAATGATCTACTTTATTACCATTTCATTACTCTCTTAGCTTGTAATTACCTGGCGCAGGTCACTTTCAGAAGCAACGAACACTTTCATACTTTTAATGACTAAAACAAGAAGAAATCGGCAATAGTCTTCCAAAGAGCAATGACGGCTACGAGGGTGAAAGCTATTTTTGGTTTTGGAAACGATGATCTTTTGGAGAAACATAAAGGGTCTGCAATCCCATTCCATTAGACAGAAGTTTAGTCAACATCTGTTCTGGCAGCACAAACATAAATCAGTTGTGGAAGGCAAACCAGTGCATTTAACTACTTACACAAAAAACAACAAAGTACACAAAAACAAAAGTCTAACTAGTGTCAGTAGGACAATTATTGAGTGACAGCACCAATCCATCGTCTTTTGCTTATCGGAGTCGGGTCGCGGGGGCAGCAGCCTAAGTAGAGAGGCCCAGACTTCCCTTTCCCCAGCCACTTGGGCCAGCTCTTCCGGGGGAATCCCAAGGTGCTCCCTGGCCAGCTGAGAGACATAGTCCCTCCAGCGTGTCCCGAGTCTTCCTTTAGGTCTCCTCCCGGTTGGACGTTCCCGGAAAACCTCCCCAGGGAGGCGTCCAGGAGGTTGCAGTAGGTTGAAGCAAGAAAGCGTCTTGGAAAATTGAGCTCCAAAGAAGTCTTTGTCCCCAAAGTAGAACAAGAAGAAGAAAATATCATTTCTATAGCGCCTCTCAAGATAAAAATCACGAGACGCTTCACCAAAACAAAAATAAAAAAGTAAAAATATAAAAATGCTTTTAGAAAATGTTTAAAAATATATTTAAAATGAGCAAAAATAGGCAATTGGGATTTAAAAGAAAAAATGTTGAGAAAGAGAGAGAGTGAGTAGGAAAGAGGGAAATCAGTGGATCCTGAGGAAGGTGGAACAGGTGGGGAGAGCAGAATAAAGAGAGAGAGGTGAAGAAGGTCATACAAAAGCCAGCTTGAACAAGTGAGTCTTCAGCTGCTTTTTAAAGGAGACCACTGAGTCCACTGATCTCAGGCTCAGGGGGAGAGAGGTCCAGAGTCTGGAGGCCACAGCAGCAGATGATCTGTCACCTTTGGTCCTTTGGTCCAGTAGGCTTTGACCACTGGACCTCAGGGACCTGCTGGGGGTGTAGGGACTAAGAAGATCACCAATATAAGATGGTGCTTGTCCATGTAAGGCCCTATAGACCAGAACCAGGATCTTGAAATGAACCCTGAAGTTGACTGGCAGCCAGTGAAGCTGGAGGAGACAGAAGTACCCCTAAAACATGTCCACAGTGCTGCTAAACTACATCAAACCAATGGCAAAACATTTCTTAACTCTAACTTAATCCAAACCAAGCCACTTCAGATCTTCAAACCAAAAGTCTGACATCAGGGCAGGCCATCAAGAGTAGATTTATTAAGCTGTGTAAGCTGTATTTAAAAGCTGGGGTGGTGACAGCTGCTCTACAGACACCTGCTTACTCCATTTGTGTCCAAATCTGGTTCTTGTTGGGGGAACCACATCCTCAGGATAACATAAAGAGCAGATGACATATGAACTGAATGCTGAGGAGCTGGTGATGTTTTTACTTTAGATCTGCTCATCTCTGTCCTCTAAAATGACCTGCAAATGAACCCTGAGAGAGAAACTTCCTCTGTGTTTTGGCTTAATCCGTCTAAGCAGCTCAACTTTTGCTTGAGCCAGCATATTCTGTTCTATGGCACCATGTTTAGTGTTCTCTTTATGGAACATCCAACACGCAAACCTTTGGTGAGCACTTACCTTTAGGCTTTTTTGTAAAACCTCATTAGGCGTATGTTTCCACCTCTTCATAACCCTTGCTTCCCTGCCTTCTGACCTTTCACCCTTCACGTCTAAACCATTTAAGAAGGAAATGCTCCATTCAACCCCCCACCACCCCGGCCCACCACATCACCCGGCCTATGTTACATGAGAGGGAGAGACGTTGCTAAAAAGAAATTCAAAAAAGCCGAAGAGGCAAACAAAATAATTTAGAAACTTCATCAATTTTTCATAAATTTTCATTTCAGTTGCAAAAGCCCTCTGACAGCAATCAATAGATCATGCTGCTGTCACATAGTTAGCAGCTGGAGGTAAGAGGAAAGCCTCTGGGAGTGCCAAGCACTGGATCCGAGGCAATAGCTAACAACGTCCATTTCCATTTGCCAAGGATCACAAATTAACCAAGAATCCCGCTGCAGATGTAATTACTTTCAAAACATAGTCACAAATAATTTACTTTTACTGTCTTCCAACAAAACAAATTCAGAAATAAAACAAGCTTGTCAGATGGAATCGGTTCGGTATGCTGCTGACAGATTTAGCAGACTGGTTAGGATGGAGGCTGCTTTTATAACCTGAGATGATCTTTACTGACGCACATTCCTTAGTCCGGTGAACGAGCCACAAGCCGACAACAAAACTGGCAGAGATTTTCCTTTTCAGGGCAGTTTAAGTTGCCTGGGAGAGATTTACGTGGGAATCCCAGCCTGAATGTGATGGGGGTGTGGGGATCGTCTTCAAAGGTTATTTGATACACAGCTCAGGTTCTCCATGTCAGCAACACAGTCCAGACAGCTAGAGCTGAATGTCCATCAGGAGCCACGACTGTCGTCCTACCCCCACTCATCTGTGAGGGTCCCGTGTCCCTCCCACTGACTGACAGCAGCTTTACGTCCAACTTATAGCTCTGCAGTCGACTTTGTCAAAACTCCTCTGAGCAAAAGGTCGATGGTATTCGTCAAGTTTGTGGCTGAAAACCCGTTACGTCGCCTAACATTCAGAATCACAGTGCATTGTTTCCGTTGAACATAGATGAAATCAGCTGAAAAACAGCACTATTACCAACACATTCTCACACCCAAAGCGTCAATATATGACGATTCGGGATACCCCAGCGCGTCAGGAGAAGACGATCAGGGACACACCGATGATGCACCGTTCCAGGGCGTCAGTATCCGACGCCGGTGGTGAGACGGACATTAGAACGACTTGTGAACTATTTAACCTTCCCCTCACCCCAATCCTAACCTTAAGGTCACAGTTACTGACCTTAACGTTAGGATTTGGGTGAGGGGAAGGTTAAATAGTCGAATGATGTCCGTGAGACTGCGGGCGTCAAACACTGACGCCAGCGGAGCCATGTGCCCCTGCGTGTCCCTAATCGTCGTCTCCTGAAGCGCTGGGGCGTACCGAATCGTCATATATTGACACTCGGTCACACGCGTCATATTTTGACGCCTTGGGTGTGAGAATGTGTTGCTATTACAGCTGCCTTAAACTAAATGTTGGTTTTTTTTAAATGTGTTTTCAACGGTAAGTTCAGTGCAATCGCGTATTCTACAGTAGCTAAAAATACATTGTGACGCAGCCTCGCAATGCATTGTGGGATGTAGCCTTAGACGAGCAAGCGTGGATTTTGCATGAGTGCCTCTGGGTCTGAGTCGCTCCACTCCACTCACCTCAAAGTGGTAGTTTCGTCTCCTGAAGATGTTTCAATGAGAAGGAGCTAAACACCGCTGTTGGCAGAGGTGCTAATCGGACTCTTGATACTCAGATCGGACGTCGGAGGGGACATTTTTTATCTGTTTTCCAAAGCCGGGTAAGGTTCACGACAATATGAAACAGCTGGAAAGAGAAACGGGCCAAGCTAAAGACAGACAAAGCAAAGCAGTTTTTATGTGGAAGAGCGGATTTTCACAGTGTGGAGCAGATCAAGGGGTGCGTGTATATTTGCTGGGAAAGGTCCTACGACTGAGAATGATGAACCGATACTAGCAACGCTCTCATATGTGGAGGTACCCAAGAGGCGGTGGTGTGAATGAAGGGGTCCAGCCAAGTCTCTGACAGCCAAAAAAGATCCCAACATGGACGAAAAGGCTTCTGACCAGAGGTGGGTGGTTTGTAATCCGTAGTGACACAAATTATAACCTAAGAGTAAAAAAAATTACTTAAAGAAAATGTTACTTGAGCCGCTGAGTCACGCGTCACAGTTTCAGCACTAATGTTTGAATTTTGTTTCTGGTCATTTGTTTTTACTGACACCCAAGCGCTCTGTTCGTGTTTTGTAAATTGGTAAATGTGGTTTGTTTGTTAGACTACACTATTTCTGTACAAAGTTAATTCAAAAGTACATGTTGAATGAAATGAACGAATGCAAATGCAGTGAGATGCTTGTCTGGTCAATGCTTATGTAACAAAACAAGCCGAGCAACGCAGCAGAGAGAAGAAAAGAAGGTAACCAAGACATCAGTTGGACTCACATGCTACTTCCAACGACGCGTTACGGCTGACAGCTTCTCCCAGGTAGTTCCGGGCTACGCAGATGTAGGCCCCCTCGTCCGGTTTGCTCCGTCGTCCGTGAACGATGCGAAGGAAGAAAAGCGAGCCAGTGGGCAGCAGCATGCGGTGAGAGCGCGGATCGTCTTTGTCCGTTTCCACCCGCTCTCCATCCTTGTACCACTCCACCGTAGGGGTCGGCCTCCCTTCTGCTTTACAGTTGAGAGTGGCAGGCTCCCCTTTGGATACAATCAGGTCGGAGGGGTGCTCCACTATCCGGGGCGGGGAGTCCTCCTGGCGCTGACGGGATCCTAAACGGTAAAAATAAGCAAATGACAAGCAGCTGATTACAGCACAGCCAAAGACACCAACACACTATAGGCTCAACGTTTTGGGTTAGCAAATCTAGCTAAGCGGTGAGAAATGGCTGGATGGCCAATAGGGCCGCACGATATTAGGAAAACCTGCAACATTCGATAACAGTGATTAATATTGCGATGACGATATTACTTGCGATAAATAAAAACTTTTAACTCCGGAACAAAAATAATCAAAAACAAAGAAATAAAAAAAAAATCACAAAAATGAGAAAAGCAAAGATGTGAGGAAAGGGGAAAAGAAAATGAACAAGAAAAGGCGATCAGTGGATCCCGGGAAAAGCAGAATCAGCAAAAGGAGCAGAACAAAGCTAACTCAGGTGTTTGCTAACCATCAAAATTAAGTGCCGTCCGCCTCGGGGGCGGGGCATCTAACCTATGAGAACCCGCCCAACTGGCCAAATGGCTAAAGAGCTCTATTTGATTTGTTAAAAAAAATCATAATGCTTCCATTTGATTGACAGAATGCATTATGTGTAGCAAACATTTGAGCTGACCATTCACAACAATATTTATCTGTTGTTTGCGATATGCATATTGCGCATGCCGATATCGCGATATATTTACGATATATTGTGCAGCCCTAATAGCCAACATTGAGTCTATTAAAACCCTCATCACAAGGTCGATGCTTGTAGGAAATGTTGACAGAATAAATTTCAGCCCTGTCAAAAAGGACATCTGCCCCCCTGAAACCTATATGTAGGATTAGTGGAGTAATTAGACTCTTGGGTGACCAATAAATGTGAGGCATGTCTTTGAAAAGCGCACAAAAGTCATCAGTTTATTACAAAAGAGGATGAATAAGTTGTGCATATGACTGTTGGAGTTCAGACTGATGTCAAACACTAATCCCCTGTGGCTGAAAATCCTAATTCACTCCTTTTTATTAGGTCTTGCAATGAGTGAGCTCTCAGTCTGGTGGCCAAGATAATGTTTCATGAGTCAGAGTTGTGTGTGTGTGTGTGTGTGTGTGTGTGTGTGTGTGTGTGTGTGTCTCTGACCTGGTTTAACCCACAGAAATAAGACGCTGTGAGCCACACACATTTACATCAGGACATGGGATCCACGCAACAATCAAACGCTTTGATCCAGCACCAAACAAATGACGACTCATTTCATTGCAAAGACTAACTTTTCCAACAATTAGCTAAACGGTTTTTCCTTGGAACAGCATAAAATCCCCTATCGCTAACTGTGGTTCAGCTGGCAGCCACATCTGAACCAATCAGCGCTGCATTAAGCCGAGAGCTGAGCTCTTTGTCTCCAAATGAGTTGTTGCACGCGTGCGTGCGATTGAGCCGAGTTGATGATTGTGACCTTCCCCGGAGAAGCGCGGTCGGCCAATAGGACGATGCTTGCTGCACGCAAGCCCGGTGTACCGTCCACCAAGGCCCTTTTTGCTTGAGTAAGAGCTCAGTTTAACGTGGGAAGGATGAAAAACAGTGGAGTTGTTTGGTTTTTATTCAGCAGGTTTTGTACACATTACACCAGCCTCATACTTGAACTACTAAGGGAAAATTGGATAAGCTATACCCTAAAGAATCCGTGGGCAATAGGGCAGGAGTAGGTAGAAACTCACTTATCAGCACAAAATTGCACTTCAAAGCCTGAGTGAGGGAGAAGTGTATGCGCATGCACACGCGTGCGCACACACACACACACACACACACACGCACACACACACACACACACACACATGCAAATGCAATGATTTTCTCTGCACAGAGTGCACCAGTACACTGGTTGCCAGGAATCCAGCGTATTGACCTCCGGACAGGAGGTAGTCTGCTCTCTCTTCTTCCTAATTTGGGCTAATTCTCTCCATTTCCCTGTCATTGATTAGTGATCCGACCTAGTGTCCTTTTCTGACGGAGGCCACAGACTGGCGTTTGTGTCAGGCTGCTTGTTGCTAGCATGCTCCCATAGCTCATGATCTAATCTCATTGGCAACATGCAGATCACTGGAGATGACGTTAGTGGCGGAACAATAACCTACACCCTTACCCAATTACTTTTACAAATAATAAAAAAGTAATCTCGTTGGCTGCCTCTACACGCAGGTTTTATGTGTACACGTTAGGCGACGGAACAAATCGAGCTGCCACTAGCACCCTGATACTGATGAATGGAGAGTGAGATAAAGAACAGACATAGACACCCCCTATCTTCTTCAATGAAGTGTCAAATGCACATTTATTCTTATCTCACCGAAGCATCCGTTTCCCTCCATAATCTCCAAGCTCCACTGTGCTTTTCCACTAGGGCCAGTGCGCATGCACAGCACTAAACATGGTGACTCCATTCGATTTATATCAGTCTAATTTCTTTAAATCCAATTTGTATTCCAATCTACTGCCTTCTAATCACTTAAACCTCGAGTCTCCATCTGTTCTTTTTTTTTCCTCTGGAAATGAACTCAGCAGATGTCTGTAAAACTGTCCTTTTGCTGCCAGAGAGAGCTAAGCTGGAGCAGACGGGGCTGGTCAGTGCCCTTCCTGAGTGGAGAGACTCAGGTGTGGAGGAAGCAGAGGTTAAACGCACATCCATATGCCACAGAATATAGTGGGAAACTGGCTCATCAATCTCAATTTGGATGTGCTCGACGTGCCCACCTTGCCTGTTGTGTCACAGCACAACCCAAAGTGTTTGCACGAGTGTGCATGCCGTCTACTGTGGACCCATGATTTCCAGGCACAGGTGTGCTGTGCAACTTCCACCAACCAAAAGGCAGACCTAGCGCCTCACAGGAGTCAAAGTCGATTTTCAGTGTCCTATTGGGCCCCCTTTCCCACTCTCTTTACGGTAAATGGGCTTTCTGTTGCCCTTTTAATGCGATCATCGGTGATGTGCAATCAAGTGCTCTCTGAGCTGGGGCGAGTGCACTTCACTGGGTCTCGGGGCACACGCTCCAATCAAAATGCTGTGTTTCCCCCTGTTTGCAATAACACCACCATTACTTTTCACCACCGCTGTGCAGTCATCCTTTCTTGGAGGAAGGCAGGATCCAGAGAACAAACAAACAAGAACACAGACAGGGAATGAAATCGGAGAGGGGTTAGTGAACCAGAAGCTTTTCTTTTTGTCCGCGCAGAGTCACTGGAATGGAAGCAGTTTTGCTGTGTTGTTATCCAATAAATATTCAGAACTTCAGCCTGTTTGCTTCTCGCTTTCATCTACCCATCATCACACCACAGAACATACCAACAAGATGTAGTAAACTTTCATCAACTGAGGCCCTGTCCACACGTAGCCGGGATCTGCCAAAACGTAGATATTTTTCTACGTTTTGGCCTGTCATCCACACGAAAACTGAGTTTTTTCACACGAAAACGGATCTTTTTAAAAACTCCGGCCAAAGTGAAGATCTGCGTTTTCTCCGTTTTGGGTGTCTGCGTGTGGACAGACAAAACCGGAGTTTTAAGGTCCGCAACGTCACTTTCCGCGACAAAAAAATGCTGACATCACGTGTGCGACCTGTGTTTACACAGCCGACAGCATGGATGCCCTCAGAGGTGCGCTCGCTTTATCAATTGTCCAAGCGCTTTTTGCTTGTTTGTTTTTGCAAGCGGAATTACTGCTCCTTGCGGAAGACCACAGACGAAGGACGAGGTTAAGAACGGGGGAAGTACTGCCGCCTGCAGGTCTGGCATGTCCTTAACAACGTATTTATCCGGGTACGTGTGGAAAGTTTTTTTTTTAAAACGAGGTGGTGTGGATGCAAGTTTTTGGAGGGGTGGATATTCGTTTTTTTTTTTAAACCCGGCTACATGTGGACTAGGCCTTAGAGGGGAAAAGCTTTAAATTTGCTGTTAATTGTAAGATAAACCCAACTTCAAGCTCCGTGGACTGACCAGGAACCCATAAGTAGTCTTTTCTATTATCTTTTCCCCATATTTATTCATGCGTGCAACACAAGGTCAGGCCTTTGATGGTCTTTTTGTAATTATTTTTATGAGTTCCCAGGAGGAGCCCTAGCCCACAAACCAAATCGATGCACACACCAGACTCAAGCAGAGCATAAAAAGAAAGGCTCCCCAAAGAGATATTAGTTATTCTGCCAGCAGACGTTTGCTGATCACAGGTAACCAACAGCAACCTCAGACCAAGGCGAGAACCTCGAGTCACCGAGGCGCCATAAGACATCAAAAAGGTGAATCAAGGTTCAGGCCGAGACGCAGCAACATGGATGGTCAAACACGGAGCACACTTTTCATCCGCAAAGGGCTAAAAACCAATAAATCTAACTAATAAAAGAGTGACTAGACTTTAATACTAAATTCAGATAGTATAAATTAAAGGTGTGGAACACTGAAAAAACATTTTTATGGTTATTTCTGATTATAATCAGTCAATTGAGTTCTTCATGCAGGCTGAACATGAAAATAGTCTCCTACACCTCCTGCTGCATTAGCTTCTGGTAGAAAATAGACAGTGGAACAGATCTATGTCACGCGGTCGCCCCGACTCACTCACACTGGCTCACCACGGGGAAGGCCGTTGCTTTAGCGTCCAGGAAACGGCAGAGAACGTCTCGGCTTGCAGAAGCTAACTGTTAGCATTAACGACACAACCACAAGGCCGAAGCTTCTCCAGACTTGTGTTGTTTGCGGAGATGAAACATCCACGTGGCTGTGCAGAGTCACGTGGCCGTTATCCAATCCGAGGAGAGATGTCCAAATATCAAGAAATAAAACTCTAAATCCTGCCGTGCTGAACTCTCCTCTGATGTAGCGGACTAATCCATGCTGATGCGGGCCTTTCCGGGCTTGTTTCGCCCCGAGCGCAGCTTGCAAGGCAGACTGATTAAACAAGTTTCCCATCTTTAAGTACAACAACACCTGAAGTGATTTGATGCATTTGTTTCTGTTCACCTCTGAGCTCTCCATCTTTTCTGAACTAACCTCTCCCTTTACCGCCCGGTATCTCTGTGT